TTTGGTGAAAATTTGGAGGTTTTGTGAAACTTTTGAGGTTTTGGGGTGTTTTGGTGAAAATTTGGAGGTTTTGGTGAAAATTTGGAGGTTTTGGGGTGATTCTGGTGAAAATTTGGAGGTTTTGGGCGATTTTGGTGAAAATTTTGATTTTTTTGGGGTGGTTTTGGTGAAAATTTGAAGGTTTTGGTGAAAATTTGGAAATTTTGGGGTGATTTTGGTGAAAATTTGGAGGTTTTGGTGAAAATTTGGAGGTTTTGGGGTGATTTTGGTGAAAATTTGGAGGTTTTGGTGAAAATTTGGGATTTTGGGGCAATTTTGGTGAAAATTTGGAGGTTTTGAGGTGATTTTGGTGAAAATTTGGATTTTTGGGGTGGTTTTGGTGGAAATTTGGATTTTGGGGTGATTTTGGTGAAAATTTGGAAATTTTGGGGTGATTTTGGTGGAAATTCGGATTTTTGGGGTGATTTTGGTGAAAATTTGAAGGTTTTGGGGTGGTTTTGGTGAAAATTTGGGGTTTTTTTGGTGATTTTAGTGAAAATTTGGCGGTTTGGGGTGATTTTGGTGAAAATTTTGAGGTTTTGGTGAAAATTTGGAGGTTTTGGGGTGATTTTGGTTAAAATTTGGGGTTTTTTTTGGTGATTTTGGTGAAAATCTGGGGGTTTTGGGGTAATTTTGGTGAAAATTTGGAGGTTTTGGTGAAAATTTGGGGGTTTGGGGTGATTTTGGTGAAAATTTGGATTTTTGGGGTCGTTTTGGTGAAAATTTGGAGGTTTTGGGGTGATTTTGGTGAAAATTTGGGTGTTTGGGGTGATTTTGGTGAAAATTTGGGGGTTTTGGTGAAAATTTGGGATTTTGGGGGATTTTGGTGAAAATTTGGAGGTTTTTGGATGATTTTGGTGAAAATTTGGATTTTTGGGGTGATTTTGGTGAAAATTTGGAGGTTTTGGTGGAAATTTGGAGGTTTTGGGGTGATTTTGGTGAAAATTTGGGGGTTTGGGGTGGTTTTGGTGAAAATTTGGAGGTTTTGGTGCAAATTTGGGGGTTTGGGGTGATTTTGGTGAAAATTTGGATTTTTGGAGTGATCTTGGTGAAAAATTTGGGGTTTTTTTTGTGATTTTGGTGAAAATTTGGAGGTTTTGGGGTATTTTGGTGAAAATTTGGAGGTTTTGGGGTTATTTTGGTGAAAATTTGGGGTTTTGGGGTGATTTTGTTGAAAATTTGTGGATTTGGGATGGTTTTGGTTAAAATTTGGGGTTTTGGTGAAAATTTGGGGGTTTTGGGGTGATTTTGGTGAAAATTTGGGGGTTTGGGGTGATTTTGGTGAAAATTTGGGATTTTGGGGTGGTTTTGGTGAAAATTTGGAGGTTTTGGGTGGTTTGGGTGAAAATTGGGGATTTTGGGGTGATTTTGGTGAAAATTTGGGATTTTGGGGTGGTTTTGATGAAAATTTGTAGGTTTTGGTGAAAATTTGGAGGTTTTGGGGGATTTTCGTGAAAATTTGGATTTTTGGGGGTGATTTTGGTGAAAATTTGGGATTTTCGGGTGATTTTGGTGAAAATTTGGGTTTTTTTGGCAATTTTAGTGAAAAGTTGGAGGTTTTGGGGTGATTTTGGAGAAAATTTGGAGGTTTTTGGGTGATTTTGGTGATTTTGGGGTTTTGAACCGAAATTTGAATTTTTTTCAACCCAAATTTGGAGATTTTTGGGTTTTTTTTAACCAAAAGTTGAAGAATTTTGGTTAAAATTTGAGGGATTTGAACCCAAATTTTGGTGGGGTTGGGTCAAAGGGAGGAACTGGGATGGACTGGGATGGACTGGGATGGACTGGGAGGGACTGGGATGGACTGGGATGGACTGGGAATGAACTGGGATGGACTGGGATGAACTGGGATGAACTGGGAGTTACTGGGACTGAACTGGGATGGACTGGGATGGACTGGGAATGGACTGGGATATACTGGGAGGGACTGGGATGAACTGGGAGTGAACTGGGATGAACTGGGATGGACTGGGAGCTACTGGGATGGACTGGGATGAACTGGGAGCAAACTGGGAGTGAACTGGGATGGACTGGGATGGACTGGGATGAACTGGGATGGACTGGGATGAACTGGGATGGACTGGGATGAACTGGGAGTTACTGGGATTAACTGGGATGGACTGGGATGGACTGGGAAGGACTGGGATGGACTAGGAGTTACTGGGAGTTACTGGGAGTTATGAACTGGGAGTTACTGGGAGTAAACTGGGATGGACTGGGAGTTACTGGGATGGACTGGGATGAACTGGGATAAACTGGGAGTTACTGGAAGTGGACTGGGAGTTGCTGGGAGTGAACCTGGATGAACTGGGATGAACTGGGATGAACTGGGATGAACTGGGAGCAAACTGGGATTTACTGGGATGAACTGGGAGTTACTGGGATGAACTGGGGCTGAACTGGGACTGAACTGGGATGAACTGGGATGGACTGGGATGGACTGGGAGTGAACTGGGACTGAACTGGGATGAACTGGGATGAACTGGAATTGAACTGGGAATGAACTGGGAGGGACTGGGATAAACTGGGGCTGAACTGGGATGAACTGGGGCTGAACTGGGATGAACTGGGATGGACTGGGATGAACTGGGATGGACTGGGATGGACTCGGAGGGAACTGGGATGAACTGGGATGAACTGGGGCTGAACTGGGATGAACTGGGATGAACTGGGATGAACTGGGATGAACTGGGATGGACTGGGATGGACTGGGAGTTACTGGGATGAACTGGAATGGACTGGGATGAACTGGGAGTGAACTGGGATGGACTGGGAGTCACTGGGAGTTATGAACTGGGAGCTACTGGGAGTTACTGGGATGAACTGGGAGTTACTGGGAATGGACTGGGATGAATTCGGAGTTACTGGGATGAACTGGGATGGACTGGGAGTACACTGGGAGTGAACTGGGATGAACTGGGATTGAACTGGGAGTTACTGGGATGAACTGGGAGCAAACTGGGAGTGAACTGAGAGCTACTGGGACTGAACTGGGATGAACTGGGATGAACTGGGAGTCACTGGGAGTGAACTGGGATGAACTGGGAGTCACTGGGAGGCACTGGGAGTGAACTGGGATGGACTGGGATGGAACTGGGAGTTACTGGGAGGGACTGGGATGGACTGGGACTGAACAGGGATGAACTGGGAGTTACTGGGATGAACTGGGATGAACTGGGATGGACTGGGAGGGACTGGGATGGTCTGGGATGAACTGGGATGGACTGGGATGGACTGGGAGTGAACTGGGACTGAACTGGGATGAACTGGGATGGACTGGGATGGACTGGGATGGACTGGGATGGACTGGGAGTTACTGGGAGTTACTGGAAGTGAACTGGGAGTTACTGGCAGTTACTGGGATGAACTGGGATGAACTGGAATTGAACTGGGAGGAACTGGGATGAACTGGGAGTCACTGGGATGAACTGGAATTGAACTGGGATGAACTGGGATGGACTGGGATGAACTGGGAGTTACTGGGAGTAAACTGGGAGTAAACTGGGAGTGAACTGGGATGAACTGGGATGGACTGGGATGAACTGGGATGAACTGGGATGAACTGGGACTGAACAGGGAGCCACTGGGATGAACTGGAATTGAACTGGGAGTTACTGGGAGTGAACTGGGATGGACTGGGATGGACTGGGATGAACTGGGAGTCACTGGGATGGACTGGGATGGACTGGGATGGACTGGGATGGACTGGGATGGACTGGGATTGAACCGGGAGTCACTGGGATGAACTGGGATGAACTGGGATGAACTGGGATGGACTGGGATGGACTGGGACTGAACTGGGAGTTACTGGAAATGAACTGGGATGGACTGGAATTGAACTGGGAGTGAACTGGGAGTTACTGGGACTGAACTGGGAGCTACTGGGATGAACTGGGAGTTACTGGGACTGAACTGGAATGAACTGGGATGGACTGGGATGAACTGGGATGAACTGGGATGGACTGGGAATGGACTGGGATGAACTGGGATGAACTGGGGCTGAACTGGGATGAACTGGGATGGACTGGGATGAACTGGGAGTGAACTGGGAGTCACTGGGAGTTACTGGAAGTGAACTGGGAGTTACTGGGATGAACTGGGAGTTACTGGGATGAACTGGGAGCAAACTGGGAGTGAACTGGGAGTAACTGGGATGAACTGGGACTCACTGGGAGTGAACTGGGATGGACTGGGAGGGACTGGGACTGAACTGGGAGTCACTGGGAGTCACTGGGAGTTACTGGGAGTCACTGGGACTGAACTGGGATGAACTGGGATGAACTGGGATGAACTGGGAGCCGCCAGGGGGCGCCCCCTCCCCGCACCACCCCAGGGCCGGGCGGAAGCGCCTTTTCCCGCCTCACGAAAGGGGCGGGACTTTATCTATACCGACCAATAGGAACGTCCCGTTCCGCCTCTCCGGGTGCTGATTGGTTAACGCGGCCGCGCTCAGCCAATCAGCACGCGGGGGAGGCGTGGTCAGGGCGGAGGGGCTGATCGCGGAAGATCCGCCGTGATCTTTTCCCGCCTCACGAAAAGGGCGGGACTTCACCTTTATCAACCAATAGCAGCGTCGCTTTCGTCTCTACGGGCGCTGATTGGTTAACGCGGCGGCGCTCAGCCAATCAGCGCGCGGGGAAGGCGTGGTCAGGGCGGAGGCTCCGGTCGCGGAAGATCCGCCGTGATCTTTTCCCGCCTCACGAAAGGGGCGGGACTTCACCCGTACCGACCAATAGGAACGTCTCCTCCCGCCTCTCCGGGCGCTGATTGGTTAACACGGCGGCTCTCAGCCAATCAGCGCGCGGGGGAGGCGTGGTCAGGGCGGAGGCCCTGAGCGCGGAAGATCCGCCGCGATCTTTTCCCGCCTCACGAAAGGGGCGGGACTTCACCTTTATCAACCAATAGCAGCGTGCGCTTTCGTCTCTACGGGCGCTGATTGGTTAACGCGGCGGCTCTCAGCCAATCAGCGCGCGGGGGAGGCGTGGTCTGGACGAGCGGCGGCAATGGCGGAGGCGCTGAGCGCGGAGGCGGCGCGGGAGATCCGCCGTGAGTCGGGGCTGGAATGGCGCTGAGCGGGGGGAAAACGGCTCCGGAGGGGCGGGAGAGGGGCTGGAACGGGGCTGGGACGGGGAACGGGCACCCGCAAAGCTCCGGGAGTTCCTCCCGAGCCGGAGCCTCCACAGGCGGCCCCGCGCTGCCCTCGGGGTTTGCGTCCCTCAGGCAGCCGTGAGGTGCAAATGCCCTCAGGGGGGTTAAATCTTCAATTTGGGGTTTTTCTGTCACTTAAACCCCTCCCAGGAGCTCAAAATCCCCTCACGAAAGTTTAAATTTCCAATTTGGGGCTTTTCAATCCCTCAAACCCCTCCCAGGAGCTCCAAATTCCCTCATGAATGTTTAAAATTCCATCTCGGGGCTTTTCAGTCACTTAAACCCCTCCCAGGAGCTCCAAATCCCCTCACGAATATTTAAATTTTACCCCTGGGGCTTTTCAATCCTTCATATTTTTCCCAGGAGCTCCAATTCCCCTCACGAATGTTTAAATTTCCATCTCGGGGCTTTTCAATCCGTCAAACCCCTCCTAAAAACTCCAAATCCCCTCACGAATGTTTAAATTTCCATCTCGGGGCTTGTCAATCCCTCAAACCCCTCCCAAAAACTCCAAATCCCCTCAGAAACGTTTACATTTTCACCTCGGGGCTTTTTAATCTCTCAAACCCCTCACGAATGTTTAAATTTTCAATTTGGGACATTTTAATCCCTCAAACCCCTCAGGAATGTTTAAATTTTCAATTTGGAGCTTTTTAATCCCTCAAACCCCTCACGAATATTTTAAATTTTCACCTCGGGACTTTTCAGTCACTTAAACACCTCCTAAAAACTCCATATCCCCTCACGAATGTTTAAATTTTCAATTTGGGACATTTTAATCCCTCAAATCCCCTCACGAATATTTAAATTTTACCCCCGGGGATTTTTCAATCCCTCAAATTTTTCCCGGGGCTCCAAATTCCCCTCAGGAATGTTTAAATTTTCAATTTGGGGCTTTTTAATCCCTCAAACCCCTCAGAAATGTTTAAATTTTCAATTTGAGGCTTTTCAATCCCTCAAACCCCTCCCAAAAACTCCAAATCCCCTCACGAATGTTTAAATTTTTAATTTGGGGCTTTTTAATCCCTCAAACCCCTCACGAATGTTTAAATTTTCAATTTGGAGCTTTTTAATCCCTCAAACCCCTCACGAATATTTAAATTTTCAATTTGAGGCTTTTCAATCCCTCAAACCCTCCCAGGAGCTCAAATTCCCCTCACGAATATTTAAATTTTTAATTTGGGGCTTTTCAATCCCTCAAACCCCTCACGAATATTTTAAATTTTTACCTCAGGATTTTTCAAACCCTCAAACCCTCCCAGGAGCTCCAAATCCCCTCACGAATATTTTAAATATTTTAAATTTTCACCTCGGGACTTTTCAATCCCTCAAATTTTTCCCAGGAGCTCCAAATCCCCTCACGAATGTTTAAATTTTAATTTGGAGCTTTTTAATCCCTCAAAACCCCTCATGAATATTTAAATTTTCAATTTGGGGCTTTTTAATCCCTCAAACCCCCTCAGGAATGTTTAAATTTTCAATTTGGGGCTTTTTAATCCCTCAAACCCCTCAGGAATGTTTAAATTTTTAATTTGGGGCTTTTTAATCCCTCAAATCCCCTCACAAATATTTAAATTTTTAATTTGGGGCTTTTTGATCCCTCAAATTCCCTCATGAATATTTAAATTTTTAATTTGGAGATTTTTAATCCCTCAAATCCCCTCACGAATATTTAAATTTTTAATTTAAGGCTTTTCAATCCCTCAAATTTTTCCCTGGAGCTCAAAATCCCCTCACGAATATTTAAATTTTCAATTTGAGACTTTTCAATCCCTCAAACCCCTCAGGAATGTTTAAATTTTCAATTTGGAGCTTTTCAATCCCTCAAACCCCTCACGAATGTTTAAATTTTCAATTTGGGGCTTTTCAATCCCTCAAACCCCTCCCAAAAACTCCAAATCCCCTCACGAATATTTTAAATATTTTAAATTTTCACCTCGGGACTTTTCAATCCCTCAAATTTTTTCCAGGAGCTCCAAATCCCCTCAGGAATGTTTAAATTTTCAATTTGGAGCTTTTTAATCCCTCAAATCCCCTCACAAATATTTAAATTTTTAATTTGGGGCTTTTTAATCCCTCAAACCCCTCAGGAATGTTTAAATTTTCAATTTGAGGCTTTTTAATCCCTCAAATCCCCTCATGAAAATTTCAATTTTACCCCCGGGGATTTTCAATTCCTCAAACCCCTCCAAAAAAATCCAAATCCCCTCACGAATATTTAAATATTAATTTGGGGCTTTTCAATCCCTCAAACCCCTCAGGAATGTTTAAATTTTCAATTTGGGACATTTTAATCCCTCAAATCCCTCACAAATATTTAAATTTTTTTACCTGGGAATTTTTCAATCCCTCAAACCCTCCCAAAAACTCCAAATCCCCTCACGAATGTTGAAATTTTCAATTTGGAGCTTTTTAATCCCTGAAACCCCTCACAAATATTTAAATTTTCAATCTGGGGCTTTTTAATCCCTCAAACCCCTCACGAATGTTTAAATTTTCAATTTGGGACATTTTAATCCCTCAAATCCCCTCACGAAAATTTCAATTTTACCCCCGGGGGTTTTCAATCCCTCAAACCCTCCCAAAAACTCCAAATCCCCTCACGAATATTTAAAATATTTTAAATTTTTACTCCAGGATTTTTCAATCCCTCAAACCCCTCCCATGAGCTCCAAATTCCCCTCAGGAATGTTTAAATTTTCAATTTGGGGCTTTTTAATCCCTCAAACCCCTCAGGAATGTCTAAATTTTTAATTTTGGGTTTTTAATCCCTCAAACCCCTCAGGAATGTTTAAATTTTTAATTTGGGGCTTTTTAATTCCTCAAACCCCTCAGGAATGTTTAAATTTTCAATTTGGGGCTTTTTAATTCCTCAAACCCCTCATGAATATTTAAATTTTCAATTTGGGGCTTTTCAATCCTTTAAACCCCTCCCAAAAACTCCAAATCCCCTCAGGAATGTTTAAATTTTCAATTTGGGGCTTTTTAATCCCTCAAACCCCTCACGAATATTTTAAATTTTCACCTCGGGACTTTTCAATCCCTCAAACCCCTCCCAAAAAATCCAAATCCCCTCACGAATGTTTAAATTTTTTAATTTGGGGTTTTTTAATCCCTCAAACCCCTCACAAATGTTTAAATTTTCACCTCAGGACTTTTCAATTCCTCAAACACTCCCAGGAGCTCCAAATCCCCTCACGAATATTTAAAATATTTTAAATTTTTACTTCAGGATTTTTCAATCCCTCAAATTTTTCCCTGAAGCTCCAATTCCCCTCAGGAATGTTTAAATTTTCAATTTGGAGCTTTTTAATCCCTCAAACCCCTCACGAATGTTTAAATTTTTAATTTGGGACATTTTAATCCCTCAAACCCCTCAGGAATGTTTAAATTTTTAATTTGAGGCTTTTTAATCACTCAAACCCCTCACGAATATTTAAATTTTCAATTTGGGGCTTTTTAATCCCTCAAACCCCTCACGAATATTTAAATTTTTATCTCAGGGCTTTTCAATCCCTCAAACCCCTCCCAGCAACTCCAAATCCCCTCACGAATATTTTAAATATTTTAAATTTTCACCTCTGGACTTTTCAATCCCTCAAATTTTTCCCAGGAGCTCCAATTCCCCTCAGGAATGTTTAAATTTTTAATTTGAGGCTTTTTAATCCCTCAAATCCCCTCACGAATATTTAAATTTTTAATTTGGGGGTTTTCAATGCTTCAAACCCCTCCCAAAAACTCCAAATCCCCTCACGAATATTTAAATTTTTAATTTGGGACATTTTAATCCCTCAAACCCCTCACGAATGTTTAAATTTTCAATTTGGAGCTTTTTAATCCCTCAAATCCCCTCATGAATATTTAAATTTTACCTCCGGGGGTTTTCAATCCCTCAAACCCCTCCCAAAAACTCCAAATCCCCTCACGAATATTTAAAATATTTTAAATTTTTACTCCAGGATTTTTCAATCCCTCAGATTTTTCCCAGGAGCTCCAAATCCCCTCACGAATGTTTAAATTTTCAATTTGGGGCTTTTTAATCCCTCAAACCCCTCACGAATGTTTAAATTTTTAATTTGGGGCTTTTTAATCCCTGAAATTCCTCACAAATATTTAAATTTTCAATTTGGGGCTTTTCAATCCCTCAAACCCCATCCAGGAGCTCCAAATCCCCTCACGAATATTTTAAATATTTTAAATTTTTACCTCGGGACTTTTCAATCCCTTAAATTTTTCCCAGGAGCTCCAAATCCCCTCACGAATGTTTAAATTTTTTAATTTGGAGCTTTTCAATCCCTCAAACCCCTCACGAATGTTTAAATTTTCAATTTGGAGCTTTTTAATCCCTCAAACCCCTCATGAATATTTAAATTTTTAATTTGTGGCATTTTAATCCCTCAATCCCCTTGGATTTTTATGGAATTCCCTGAGTTTTTTTTGGGAATTCCTTGGATTTTTTTTTTTTTTATTTCCCTATATTTTTTGGGAATTCCTTGGATTTTTTTATTTCCTGGATTTTTAGGGATTCCTTGAATTTTTATGGAATTTCCTGGATTTTCTTGGCAATTCCTTGGATTTTTTTGGGAATTCCTTGGATCCTTTTAGGGATTTCTTAGATTTTAATGGGAATTTCCTGGATTTTTTTGGCAATTCCCTGGATTTTTTTTGGAATTTCCTGGATTTTTTTTTGGCAATTCCTTGGATTTTTTTTTTTTTAATTCCCTGGATATTTTTTTATTTCCTGACTTTTTTTTTGAAATTTCTTGGATTTTTTTAAGGATTCTCTGGATTTTTTTTGAGAATTCCCTGGATTTTCTTTACAATTCCCTGATTTTTTTGACAACTCCCTGTGGATTTTCTTGGGAATTCCTTAGATTTTAATGGGAATTTCCATAAATCCCTTAAAAACCCATCCCTTCCCAAATTCCCGATGGATTTTTCCCACATTAATTTAATTTTTTTTTGGGAATTGTGTCCGTCAGAGCTGGAGAAATCCAAGGAAAAGTCGCAGCGGGACGGGAACGCGGCCGAGGAAGCGGCAGCCTGCAACCGGCTCGGGGAGATCCTGGCGGAGCACGGTGAGAACCGGAATTCGGGAATAAAAACCGGGAATTCCGGCCGGGAATGCGGGAATTCCAACTGGGAAACTGGGAATTCCAACTGGGAATGGGAATGGGAAACTGGGAATGGGAAACTGGGAATGGGAAACTGGGAATGGGAATTTGGGAATGGGCTGGAGAGATCCTGGCGGAGCACGGTGAGAGAGACGGAAATTCGGGAATAAAATCCGGGAATTCCGGCCGGGAATCCGGGAATTCCTACTGGGAATCCGGGAATTCCTACTGGGAATGGGGCTGGGAAACTGGGAATTAACTGGGAATGGGAAACTGGGAATGGGAAACTGGGAATGGGAATGGGAAACTGGGAATTTGGGAATGAACTGGAGAGACGGAATTCGGGAATAAAATCCGGGAATTCCGGCCGGGAATGCGGGAATTCCTACTGGGAATGGGGCTGGGAAACTGGGAATGGGAAACTGGGAATGGGAAACTGGGAATGGGAAACTGGGAATGGGAAATTGGGAATGGGGAACTGGGAATGGGAATTTGGGAATGAACTGGAGAGATCCTGGCGGAGCACGGTGAGAGAGACGGAATTCGGGAATAAAAACCGGGAATTCCGGCCGGGAATCCGGGAATTCCAACTGGGAATGGGGATGGGAAACTGGGAATGGGAAACTGGGAATGGGAATGGGGAATTGGGAATGGGAAACTGGGAATGGGAATGGGGAACTGGGAATGGGAATTTGGGAATGAACTGGAGAGATCCTGGCAGAGCACGGTGAGAGAGGCGGAATTTGGGAATAAAATCCGGGAATTCCGGCCGGGAATGCGGGAATTCCTACTGGGAATGGGGCTGGGAAACTGGGAATGGGAAACTGGGAATGGGAATTTGGGAATTTGGGAATGAACTGGAGAGATCCTGGCAGAGCACGGTGAGAGAGGAGCTGGAAATTTGGGAATAAAAACTGGGAATTCCAGCCGGGAATTGGGAATTCCAACTGGGAATGGGAATGGGAAACTGGGAATTAACTGGGAATGGGAATGGGGAACTGGGAATGGGAAACTGGGAATGGGAATGGGAAATTGGGAATGGGAATGAACTGGAGAGATCCTGGCGGAGCACGGTGAGAGAGGCGGAATTTGGGAATAAAATCCGGGAATTCCGGCCGGGAATCCGGGAATTCCAACTGGGAATGGGAATGGGAAACTGGGAATGGGAAACTGGGAATGGGAATGGGAATTTGGGAATGGGAATTTGGGAATGAACTGGAGAGATCCTGGCAGAGCACGGTGAGAGAGCCGGAATTTGGGAATAAAAACCGGGAATTCCAGCCGGGAATGCGGGAATTCCAACTGGGAATGGGAATGGGAAACTGGGAATGGGAAACTGGGAATGGGAAACTGGGAATGGGAATTTGGGAATGAACTGGAGAGATCCTGGTGGAGCACGGTGAGAGAGACGGAATTTGGGAATAAAATCCGGGAATTCCGGACGGGAATCCGGGAATTCCAACTGGGAATGCGGGAATTCCAACTGGGAATTAACTGGGAATTCCAACTGGGAATGGGGATGGGAAACTGGGAATGGGAAATTGGGAATGGGAATGGGAATGGGGAACTGGGAATGGGAATTTGGGAATGAACTGGAGGGATCCTGGCGGAGCACGGTGAGAGAGGCGGAATTTGGGAATAAAATCCGGGAATTCCGGCCGGGAATCCGGGAATTCCTACTGGGAATGGGAATGGGAAACTGGGAATGGGGATGGGGAACTGGGAATGGGAATGGGGAACTGGGAATGGGAATGGGGAACTGGGAATGGGAATGGGAACTGGGAATGGGAATGGGGAACTGGGAATGGGAATGGGGAACTGGGAATGGGAATGGGCTGGAGAGATCCTGGTGGAGGATGGTGAGAGAGACGGAATTTGGGAATAAAATCCGGGAATTCCGGCCGGGAATCCGGGAATTCCTACTGGGAATGGGAATGGGAAACTGGGAATGGGGAACTGGGAATGGGGAACTGGGAATGGGGAACTGGGAATTCAAACTGGGAAACTGGAATTTTGGGCTCAGGGTTTGGAATTCTGGGATCAGGGTTTGGAATTTCAGACTGAGGGTTGGGAATTCCGGGCCTAAAGTTGGAATTCCGTGCTGAGGGTTGGGAATTCCGGGATCAGGGCTGGAATTTTGGGATCAGGGTTTGGAATTTTGTGATCAGGCTTGGGAATTCTGGGCTCAGGGTTGGGAATTCCGGGCTCAGGGTTGGGAATTCCGGGATCAGTGCTGGAATTTCAGGATCAGGGTTCAGAATTCCAGGATCAGGGTTCTGAATTTTGGGATCAGGGCTGGAATTTTGGGATCAGGACTGTGATTTCTCCAATCAGGGCTGGAATTTTGGGATCAGGGTCGGAATTTTGGGATCAGGGTTGGGAATTCCAGGATCAGGGATCGAATTTCAGGATTATGGTTGGAATTCCGTGCTCAGGGTTGGGAATTCTGTGCTGAGGGTTGGGATTTTGGGATCAGGGCTGGAACTGTGGGGATCAGGGCTGGAATTTTGGGATCAGGGCTGGAATTTGGGGCTCAGGGTTCTGAATTCTGGGATCAGGGCTGGAATTTTGGTATCAGGGCTGGAATTCCGGGATCAGGGCTGGAATTTTGGGATCAGGGTTGGAATTTTTGTGATCAGAGTTTGGAATTTGGGGATCAGGCTTGGGAATTCCGGGCTCAGGGTTCTGAATTCTGGGATCAAGGCTGGAATTCCAGGCTCAGGGTTGGGAATTCTGTGCTGAGGGTCGGGAATTCCGGGATCAGGGCTGGAATTTTGGTATCAGGACTGGGATTTCTCCAATCAGGGCTGGGAATTCCGGGCTGAGGGTTGGGAATTCCGGGCTCAGGGTTCTGAATTCTGGGATCAAGGTTGGAATTTGGGGATCAGGGCTGGAACTTTGGGATCAGGGTTTGGAATTTCAGGCTCCGGGTTGGGAATTCCGGGCTCAGGGTTGGAATTTCAGGATCGGGGTTTGGAATTCCGGGCTCAGGGTTGGGAATTCCGTGCTGAGGGTTGGGAATTCGGGATCAGGGCTGGAAATTCCAGGATCATGGTTTGGATTTTTGTATCAGGACCAGAATTCCGGGATCAGGGTTGGAATTTTTGTAATCATAGTTTGGAATTTTGGGATCAAGGCTGGAATTCCGGGCTCAGGGTTAGGAATTCTGCGCTTGGGGTTGGGAATTTCAGGATCAGGGTTGGTATTTTGGGATCAGGGTTCTGAATTTCAGGATCAGGGTTCAGAATTCCAGGCTCAGAGTTGGAATTTTGGGATCAGTGCTGGGATTTCTCCAATCAGGGTTGGGAATTCCGGGATCAGGGTTGGGAATTTCAGGATCAGGGTTGGAATTTTGGGCTCAGGGTTTGGAATTTGGGGACCAGAGTTTGGAATTTCAGGATTAGGGCTGGAATTGTGGTATCAGGGTTTGGAATTTTGGGATCAGGGTTGGGAATTCCGCGCTGAGGGTCGGGATTCCAGGCTCAGGGCTGGAATTTCAGGATGTCGGTTCAGAATTCCAGGATTAGAGTTCTGAATTCTGGGATCAAGGTTGGAATTTCGGGCTCAGGGCTGGAATTTCAGGATCACGGTTGGGATTTCTCCAATCAGGGCTGGATTTTGGGCTCAGGGTTTGGAATTCCGGGATCAGGGTGGGAATTCCTCACTGATCCCACCCTCTCCGTACTCCCAGGCCGGTTCCCGGAGGCGCTGGAGCAGCACCGCCAGGAGCTGCGGCTGCTGCGCGGCGCCGGCGACGCCCTCGGCACGGCCGTGGCGCACCGCAAGGTGGGAGAGCGCCTGGCCGAGCTGCAGCGCTTCCCCGAGGCCCTGCAGGTCAGGAAAACACGGAATTCCGGGAATTGCCGGGAATTCCGGGGGGTTTGGGAGTGTTACAGGGGGTTTGGAGGGGTTTCTCACTTTTTTACCCAAATTTTCCCCAATTTTCCCCGAATTCTCTCCCAATCTTGTCTCCATTTCCTCCCCATTTTTTTCAATTTTCTTCAAATTTTCTCCGAATTTCTCCCAATTTCCCCCCCCTTTTTCCCCATTTCCCCCATTTTTTCCCATTTTCCCAATTTCTCCCAATTTTCCCCCAATTTCTCCCAATTTTCCCCCAATTTTTCCCAATTTTCCCCCCAAATTTCCCCCAATTTTTCCCAATTTTCTCCGAATTTCCCCCCAAATTTCCCCCAATTTCTCCCAATTTTCTCTAAATTTTCCCCCAATTTTCCCCCAAATTTCCCCCAATTTCCCCCAAATTCTCTCCCCGTTTCTTCCCCATTTCCTCCCCATTTTCCTCAATTTTCTTTGAATTTTCTCCGAATTTCTCCCAATTTTCTCCCTTTTTTTTTCCCATTCCCCCCAATTTTTCCTATTTTTTCCCATTTTTAACCAATTTCTCATTTTTTTACCCAAATTTTCCCCAATTTCCCCCGAATTCTCTCCCCGTTTCCTCCCAATTTTTCTCAATTTTCTTCAAATTTTCACGGATTTTCTCCCGTTTTTTTTCCAATTTCTCCCAATTTTCCCCCAATTTCTTCCAATTTCCCCCCAAATTTTCCCCAATTTTGCCCGAATTCCCCCCAAATTTCTCCCAATTTCTCACAATTTCCCCCCAAATTTCCCCCAATTTCCCCCAAATTCTCTCCCCGTTTTCTCCCCGTTTCCTCCTGTTTTTTCTCAATTTTCTTCAAATTTTCTCGGATTTTCTCCCGGTTGTTTTCCAATTTCTCCCAATTTCCCCCCAATTTTTTCCCATTTTTCCCTCAATTCTCTCCCACTTTTCCCCCAATTTCCCCCAATTCTCTCCCAATTTTTCCCCAATTTCCCCCCCAATTTCCCCCAATCTCTCTCAATTTCTCCCTGTTTTTACCATTTTTTCCCAATTTTTTCCCATTTTTCCCCAATTTCCCCCCAAATTTCCTGCAGGTCAGGAAAATGGGAATTCCGGGAATTTCGGGAATTCTGGGGGGTTTGGGAATGTTAGAGGCGGTTTGGAGGGGATTTGGTGAAGGAAAATGGGAAAAATGGGAAAATTTGGCGCATCCAGTCCTGAGCTGCAGCGCTTCCCCGAGGCTCTGCAGGTGAGAAAAACGGGAATTTTGGGAATTTTTGGGAATTTTGGGACTCTTGAGAGAGATTTTTGGGAATTTTTAGAAGTTTTGGGAATGTTAGAGGGGGTTTGGAGGGGATTTGGTGAAGGAAAATGGGAAAAATGGGAAAATTTGGTGCTCCCAGTCCTGAGCTGCAGCGCTTCCCTGAGACCCTGCAGGTGAGAAAAACGGGAATTCCGGGAATTCCCGGGAATTCCGGGGGGTTTGGGAATGTTAGAGGGGGTTTGGAGGGATTTCTCATTTTTTTACCCAAATTTTCCCGAATTTTCCCTAAATTTTCCCCAATTTTCCCCGAATTCTCTCCCAATTTTTCCCCCAATTTTTCCCAATTTTTTCCCAATTTTCCCCCAATTTTCCCAAATATTTCCCCAATTTTCCGAAATTTCCCCCATTTTCCCTGTTTCCAGCACCAGCAGCATCCCCTCTTTAGGGACTCAATATTTCTCATTTTTCCCAAATTTCCCCCATTTTTTTCCCGATTTCTCCCATGTTTTCCCAAATTTTCTCCCTTTTTCCCCAATTTATCCAATTTCTCATTTTTTTACCCAAATTTCCTGGAATTCTCTCCCCATTTCCTCCCCATTTTTCTCAATTTTCTTCAAATTTTCTCGGATTTTCTCCCGTTCTTTCCAATTTCTCCCAATTTTCCCCCAATTTTTCCCCATTTTTCTCTCAATTCTCTCCCAATTTTCTCCCAATTCTCTCCCAATTTCTCCCCATTTTCTCCCAATTTTCCCCCAATTTTTCCCCAATTTCCTCCCAAATTTCCCCCAATTTCTCCAAATTTTTTCCCATTTTTACCCAATTTCCCCCCAAATTTCCCCCAATTTTTCCCAATTTTCTCCCAATTTTCCCCCAATTTCTCCTAATTTTTCCCCCAATTTCTTCCAATTTTCCCCCAATTTTTCTCCAATTTCCCCCCAAATTTCCCCCAGTTTTTCCCCAATTGTTTCCCAATTTTTCACCCAATTCTCTCCCAATTTTCCCCCAATTTGCCCCCAAATTTCCCCCAATTTCTCTCAATTTTTCCCCAAATTTTATCCCAATTTTTGCCATTTTTTCCCAAATTTTCCCCAAATTTTCTCCCAAATTTTCCCCAAATTTCCCCGAATTCTCTCCCAATCTTGTCTCTATTTCCTCCCCATTTTTCTCAATTTTCTTCACATTTTCTCCGAATTTCTCCTAATTTCCCCCCCTTTTTTTTCCCAATTTCTCCCAATTTTTTCCCATTTTCCCAATTTCTCCCAATTTTCCCCCAATTTTTCCCAGTTTTCTCCCAATTTTCCCTGAATTCTCTCCCACATATTTTCCCAATTCTCTCCCAATTTCCCAATTCTCTCCCAATTTTTCCCCAATTTTCTCCCAATTTTTCCCCAATTTTCCCCCAAATTTCCCCAATATCTTCCAATTTTCTCCCAATTTTTCCCCAATTTCCCCCCAAATTTCCCCCAATTTCTCCCAATTTTCTCCCAATTTTTCCCCATTTTCCCCCCAAATTTCCCCCAATTTTTCCCCAATTTCCTCCCAAATTTCCCCGAATTTCTCCAAATTTTTTCCCATTTTTACCCAAGTTCCCCCCAAATTTCCCCCAATTTCTCCCAATTTTCTCCCAATTTTACCTGAATTTCCCCCCAAATTTCCCCCAATTTCTTCCAATTTCCCCCCAAATTTTCCCCAATTTTTCCCCAATTTCCCCCCGAATTTCCCCCAATTTCTTCCAATTCTCTCCCAATTTTTCCCCAATTTCCCCCCAAATTTCCCCCAATTTCTCCCAATTTTCTCTCAATTTTTCCCCAAATTTCCCCGAATTTCTCCCAATTATTTCCCTCCAAATTCTCCCAATTTTTCCTGAATTTCCCCCCAAATTTCCCCAATTTTCCCCCAAATTTCCCCCAAATTTTCCCCAATTTCCTCTGAATTCTCTCCCAATCTTGTCTCTATTTCCTCCCAATTTTTCTCAATTTTCTTCGAATTTTCTCTGAATTTCTCCCAATTTCCCCCCCAATTTCCCTATATTTTCCCATTTTTAACCAATTTCTCCTTTTTTACACCCAAATTTTTCCCCAAATTTCCCCCAATTTTCCCCAATTTCTCTCCCTGTTTCCTCCCCATTTCCTCCGGATGTTTCTCAATTTTTTTCAAATTTTCTCGGATTTTCTCCCGTTTTTTTCCCAATTTCTCCCAATTTCCCCCCAATTTTTTCCCATTTTTCCCTGAATTCTCTCCCACTTTTCTCCCAATTCTCTCCCAATTTCCCCCCGGTTCTCACCCAATTTTCCCCCAATGCTCTCCCAATTTTTTCCCATGTTCCCAATTTCTCCAATTTTCCCCCAATTTTTCCCAGTTTTCTCCCAATTTTTCCCTGAATTCTCTCCCACTTTTCTCCCAATTCTCTCCCAATTTTTTCCCAAATTTTCTCCTAAATTTTGACATTTTTTCCCAATTTCTCCCCAATTTTTCCCCAATTTCTCTTAATCTCTCCCAATTTCTCCCAATTTTTGCCATTTTTTTCCCAATTTTTGCCATTTTTTCCCAAATTTTCCCCAAATTTTCCCAAAATTTTCTCCCAAATTTTCCCCAAATTTCCCCCAATTTTTCCCAATATTCCCCCAATTTTTTCCAATTTTTTCCCCAAATTTCCCCCAGTTTTTCCCCAATTGTCTCCCAATTTTTCACCCAATTCTCTCCCACATTTCCCCCAATTTCCCCCCAAATTTTCCCCAATTTCTCCCAATTCTCTCCCAATTTTTCCCCAATTTCCCCCCAAATTTCCCTCAATTTCTCCCAATTTCTCCCAATTTTTCCCAATTTCTCCCCAATTTCTCCCAATTTTCCCCCAAATTTCCCCCAATTTCTCCCAATTTTCTCCCAATTTTCCCCCAATTTCTCCCAATTTTCTCCCAATTTTTCCCCAAATTTCCCCCAATTTCCCCCCAAATTTCCTCGAATTTCTCCCAATTTTTTCCCAATGTTTTCCCAATTTTTCCCCAAATTTCCCCCAAATTTTCCCCAATTTTCCCCGCATTCTCTCCCCGTTTTCTCCCCATTTCCTCCCGATTTTTCTCAATTTTCTTCAAATTTTCTCTGAATTTCTCCCAATTTTCCCCCCTTTTTTCCTATTGTTTCCCATTTTTAACCAATTTCTCCTTTTTTTTTACCCAAATTTCTCCCAAATTTTTCCCAATTTCCCCGAATTCTCTCCCCATTTCCTCCCCATTTCCTCCCCATTTTTCTCAATTTTCTTCCAATTTTCTCCCAATTTTCTCCCGTTTTTCTCCCGTTTTTTTCCTAATTTTCCCATTTATCCCCATTTTTACCAAAATCTCATTTTTTCTCCCCATTTTCCAGCACCAGCAGCAGCACCTTCAGGGCGCTCGGCTCCTGGGCTCGGCGGTGGAGCAGCAGCAGCCCCGGGGCCATTTTCCATTTCCTCCCATTTTTCCCAATTCTCACCCAAATTTTTCCCAATTTCTCCCCATTTTTTCCCCTTTTCCCAATTTCTCCCAATTTTCCCCCAAGTTTTCCCCGATTTCCCCCCAAATTTCCCCCAGTTTCTCCCAATTTTCTCCCATTTTTCCCTGAATTCTCTCCCACTTTTCTCCCAATTCTCTCCCACATTTCCCTCAATTCTCTCTCAATTTCTCCCACTTTTCTCTCAATTTTCCCCCAAATTTCCCCCAAATTTCCCCCAAATTTCCCCGAATTCTCTCCCAATCTTGTCTCTATTTCCTCTCCATTTTCTCAATTTTCTTCGAATTTTCTCCGAATTTTCGCCGAATTTCTCCCAATTTTCTCCCGTTTTTTCCCCAATTTCTCCCCATTTCCCCCCAATTTTTCCCAGTTTTCTCCCAATTTTCCCCCAATTCTCTTCCACATTTCCCTCAATTCTCTCCCAATTTTTCCCCAAATTTCCCCCAATTTCTCCTGATTTTTGCCATTTTTTCCAATTTTTCCCCAATTTCTCCCAATTTTTGACATTTTCTTCCAATTTTTCCCCAATTTCTCCCAATTTTTGCCATTTTTTCAATTTTTCCCCAATTTCTCCCAAATTTCTCCCAAATTTCCCCCAATTTCCCCTGAATTCTCTCCCAATCTTGTCTCTATTTCCTCTCGAATTTTCTCAAATTTCTCCAAATTTCGCCCAATTTTCTCCCGTTTTTTTTCCCAATTTTTCCCAATTTCCCTGATTTTCCCCATTTTTACCAAAATCTCGTTTTTTCTCCCCATTTCCAGCACCAGCAGCAGCACCTGCAGGGCGCTCTCCGCCTGGGCTCGGCGGTGGAGCAGCAGCAGCCCCGGGGCCATTTTCCATTTCCTCCCATTTTTCCCAATTCTCACCCAAATTTTTCCCAATTTCTCCCAATTTTCTCCCGTTTTTTTTCCAATTTCTCCCAATGTTCTCCCAGTTTTTCCCCAATTTCCCCCCAAATTTCCCCCTATTTCTCCCAATTTTTTCCCAAATTTTCCCCAATTTCCCCAAATTCTCTCCCCGTTTTCTCCCCATTTCCTCCCAATTTTTCTCAATTTTCTTCAAATTTTCTCTGAATTTTCTCCGAATTTCTCCCAATTTTCTCCCTTTTTTTTCCCCATTTCCCCCAATTTTCCCCATTTTCCTATTTTTTACCAAAATCTCATTTTTTCTCCCCGTTTCCAGCACCAGCAGCAGCACCTGCAGGGCGCTCTGCGCCTGGGCTCGGCGGTGGAGCAGCAGCGCGCCTGGGCCACCATCGGCCGCACCTTCCTGCTCATGGCCGAGGCACCTCCCTCATCCCAAATCCCGGAATTCCCCGAATTCCCGCAATTCCCGGAATTCCCGGAATTCCCGCAATTCCCGGAAAGCCCCGAGGGAGCCCAGGGAACCCCAGGAAATTCGGGAATTTTGGGGCATTGGGCGCTGCGCCGGGCGCTGGCGGCGTTCCAGAACAGCCTGGACATCGTGGAGACACAGCTGGAAGGTGATGATCCAGGGAATTTTGGGAATTTTGGGAATTTTTCAGGGCATTTTGGGAATTTTAGGAAGTTTTTGGGCGTTTTGGGGAAGTTTTTGGAGAATTTTGGGGGTTTTTTGGCAATTTTTTGTGATTTTTTTCAATTTTTTTCTGATTTTTTTCCGATTTTCCAAGTGTTTTTTGAGTGTTCAGACGCTTCTGGAATTTTGGGAATTTTTTGGGGTTTTTTGGAATTTTAGGAAGTTTTTTGGGAATTTTTGGGGTTTTTTTCGGTGGCGTTCCAGAGCAACCTGGACATGGTGGAGACGCAGCTGGAAGGTGCCGAGCCAGGGGAATTTGGGATTTTGGGAATTTTTCAGGAATATTTGGGATTTTTCAGGGAATTTTGGGAATTTTTTTTGATTTTGGGGAAAACTTAGGAAATTTCAGGGCTTTTTTAGGATTTTTTCAGAGTTTTTAGGGATTTTTTTGGGGTTCTTTTGGGCATTTTTTGGGATTTTAGGAGAATTTTTTTGATTTTTTGGGGGGATTTTTGGGGAACTTTTTTGGGGAGATTTTAGGAGGATTTTTTTGGGAGGGATTTTTGGGGAATTTTTTGATTTTTTTTTTTGGTATTTTTGAGGATTCTTTGGGGTTTTTGGGAGTTGTTTTGAGTTTTGGGGAATGTTTTGGGATTTTTTGGGAATTTCAGGATTTTTTAGGAGGTTTTTGGGAATTTTGGGAAGTTTTTGAGGGAATTTTTGGGAATTTTTCCAGAAAATTTTAGGAATTTTTGGAGACTTTTGGGGGTTTTTTTGCGATTTTTTGCAAATTTTTCCAAGTGTTTAGTGAATTGTTTAATTTTGTGGATATTTTTTGACTCTCCAAATGCTTCTGAAATTTTGGGAATTTTTGGGGAATTTTCTGAAAATTTTTGGGAATTTTTTTGGAATTTTTTGAAATTCTTTATTATTTTTTGGGGATTTTTGGCGATTTTTTTGCGTTTATTTTATTTTTTTCTGATTTTTTTCTGATTTTCTGAATGTTTTTTGAGTGTTCAGACACTTCTGGAATTTTTGGAAATTTCTTTGGGGTTTTTGGGAATTTTGGGAAGTTTCTGGGGGTTCTGGGGAAGTTTTTTGGGAATTTTTGGGATTTTTTGGGGCTGTGTTCCAGACCAGCGTGGACATCGTGGAGATGCCGCCGGAAGGTGCCAATCCAATGGAATTTGGGAATTTTTCAGGAATTTTTGGGAATTTTTCAGGAATTTTTTGGGAATTTTGCAAAGATTCCAGGGGTTCTGGGGAAGTTTTTAGGAATTTTTGGGGTTTTTTGGGAATTTTTTGGTGGTGTTCCAGAGCACCTGGACATTGTGGAGACGCAGCTGGAAGGTGACGATCCAGGGGAATTTTGGGAATTTTTGGGAAGTTTTTTTGATTTTGGGGAAAATTTAGGAAATTTTGGGGCTTTTTTGGGATTTTTTCACAGTTTTTAGGGATTTTTTTTGGGGGTTTTTTGGGCAATTTTTGGGATTTTAGGAGAATTTTTTTTATTTTTTGGGGGGATTTTTGGGGGGGATTTTTGGGATTTTTAAAAATTTTTTTCGGTATTTTTCAGTATTTTTGAGGATTTTTTGGGAGTTTTTTGAGTTTTGGGGGATGTTTTGGGATCTTTTGGGAAAATTTGGGAAGTTTTTGGGAATTTCAGGATTTTTTAGGAGGTTTTTGGGAATTTTGGGAAGTTTATGGGGGTTTTGGGGAAGTTTTTTGGAAAATTTTTGGGGCGGCGTTCCAGAGCAGCCTGGACATCGTGGAGACGCAGCTGGAAGGTGCCGAGCCAGGGGAATTTTGGGAATTTTTGGGGAAAATTTGGGAATTTTTGGGAATTTTTTTTGATTTGGGGAAAATTTATGGAATTTTGGGGCTTTTTTGGGATTTTTCCAGAATTTTTAGGGATTTTTTTGGGTTTTTTTGGGGCATTTTTTGGGATTTTAGGAGAATTTTTTGGATTTTTTTGGGGGGATTTTTGGGGATTTTTTGGGGGGGATTTTTGGGATTTTTTTTTAAAATTTTTTCGGTATTTTTCAGTATTTTTGAGGATTTTATGGGAGTTTTTGCGGATGTTTTGGGATTTCTTGGGAAAATTTGGGAATTTTTTGGAAATTTCAGGATTTTTTAGGAGGTTTTTGGGAATTTTGGGACGTTTTTGGGGGTTTTGGGGAAGTTTTTTGGGATTTTTTGGGTTTTTTTCGGTGGCGTTCCAGAACAGCCTGGACATCATGGAGACGCAGCTGGAAGGTGCCAATTTAGGGAATTTTGGGAATTTTGGGGGAAAATTTGGGATTTTTGGGAATTTTAGGAAGTTTTTGAGGGTTTTGGGGAAGTTTTTGGGGAATTTTGGGGGTTTTTTTGGCAATTTTTTGTGATTTTTTCGATTTTTTTCTGATTTTTTCCCAATTTTCCGAGTGTTTTTTGAGTGTTCAGACGCTTCTGGAATTTTGGGAATTTTTTGGGGGTTTTGGGAAGTTTTTGGGTTTTTTTTGGCAATTTTTTGTGATTTTTTTTATTTTTTTCTGATTTTTTTTCCGATTTTCCGAGTGTTTTTTGAGTGTTCAGACGCTGCTGGAATTTTGGGAATTTTTTGGGGGTTTTGGGGAAGTTTTTTGGGAATTTTTTGATGGTGTTCCAGAGCAGCCCGGACATGGTGGAGACACAGCTGGAAGGTGCCGATCCAGGGATTTTTGGGAATTTTGGGGATTTTTGGGAATTTTCCAGGAATTTTTGGGAATTTTTCAGGGATTTTTGGGAATTTTAGGAAGTTTTTTGGCAATTTTTGGGATTTTTTTTGGTGGCGTTCCAGAGCAGCCTGGACATCGTGGAGACACAGCTGGAAGGTGACGAGCTGGGGAATTTTTGGGAATTTTGGGGAAAATTTGGGAATTTTTGGGGATTTTGGGAAAAATGTAGGAAATTTTGGGGCTTTTTTGGGATTTTTTCAGAATTTTTAGGGATTTTTTTGGGGGGTTTTTTTGGCATTTTTTTGGATTTTAAGAGAATTTTTGGGGAATTTTTTGATTTTTTTCGGTATTTTTTCGGATTTTTTTGGTTTCTTGGGAGTGTTTTGGGGGATGTTTTGGGATTTTTTTGGGGAAAATTTGGGAATTTTTTTGGTATTTTTGGGAATTTTTTAGGGTTTTTTGGGAATTTTAGGAAGTTTTTTTGGAATTTTTGGTTTTTTTTGGGAATTTTAGGAAGTTTTTTGGGAATTTTGGGAAGTTTTTTGGGAATTTTTGGGGTTTTTTGGGAATTTTTGGGGGTTTTTTTGGTGGCGTTCCAGAACAGCCTGGACATCGTGGAGACGCAGCTGGAAGGTGACGAGCCGGGGAATTTTGGGAATTTTGGGAAAATTTGGGATTTTTGGGAATTTTAGGAAGTTTTTGGGCGTTTTGGGGAAGTTTTTGGGGAATTTTGGGGCTTTTTTGGCAATTTTTTGTGCTTTTTTCAATTTTTTTCTGATTTTTTCCCAATTTTCTGAGTGTTTTCTGAGTGTTCAGACGCTTCTGGAATTTTGGGGAATTTTTTTTGGAATTTTTGGGAATTTTTTGGGAATTTTTGGGGATTTTTTCAGGGATTTTTGAGAAAATTTAGGAAATTTTGGGGCTTTTTTGGGATTTTTTCAGAGTTTTTAGGGATTTTTTGGGGGTTTTTTGGGCATTTTTTTGGATTTTAGGAGAATTTTTTGGATTTTTTTGGGGGGGATTTTTGGGAATTTTTTGGGGGGGATTTTTGGGATTTTTTAAAAATTTTTTCGGTATTTTTCAGTATTTTTGAGGATTTTTTGGGAGTTTTTTTGAGTTTTGGGGGATGTTTTGGGATTTTTTGGGAAAATTTGGGAATTTTTTTGAAATTTCAGGATTTTTTAGGAGGTTTTTTGGAATTTTGGGAAGTTTTTGGGGGTTTTGGGGAAGTTTTTTGGGAATTTTTGGATTTTTTTGGTGGCATCCCAAAGCAGCCCGGACATCGTGGAGACACAGCTGGAAGGTGCTGATCCGGGGGATTTTGGGAATTTTGGGGAAAATTTGGGATTTTTTGGTCCCAATTCCCAGAATTCCCAATTTTCTGGATGTAATTCCCGATTTTCCTGGCATTGCCCATCCCAAATCCCAACATTCTGATCCCAAATCCCAAAATTCCCAAATTTCGATCCCAAATCCCCAAATTTTGCTCCCAAATCTGGGAATTTCAATCCCAAATCCCGGAATTTTCAACCCCAAATCCGGAAATTCTCATTTCAAATCTGGGAATTTTGCACCCAAATCCAGGAATTTCGATTCCAAATTCCCAAATTCCAGATCCCAAATCCCAAAATTCCAGATCCCAAATCTCTGATCCCAAACCCCGGAATTCTGATCGAGAACCCCAAAATTTCGATCCCAAATCCCGGAATTTCAGTCTCAAATCTGGGAATTTCGATCCCAAATCCCCAAATTTTGCTCCTAAATCCAAAAATCCCAAAATTCCAGATCCCAAATCCTAAAATTCCAGATCCCAAATCCCAAAATCCAGATCCCAAATCCCAGAGTTTTCAACCCCAAATTTGGGAATTTTGCTCCTGAATCCCCAAATTTTGACCCCAAATCCGGGAATTTCAATCCCAAAACCCCAAATTCCCACCCCAGAATTCCCATATTCCTAAAATTCCGACTGTAATTCCCGTTTTTCCAGGCCATGTCCCGGTGCGGGAGCTGCAGCGGATGCGGAGCCCAAATTCCCCAATCCCCAAATTCCCAAATCCCAAAAGTACAATCCCAGATCCCCAAATTTCACTCCCAAATCCGGGAATCTCAAGCCCAAATCCGCAATCCCAAAGCGCAGAATTTTCAACCCCAAATCCCCAAATTTTGCTCCAAAATCTGGGAATTTTGACCCGAAATCTGGGAATTTTGATCCCAAATCGCCAAATTTTGCTCCCAAATCCGCAAATTCCAGATCCCAAATCCCCAAATTTCAGATCCCAAATTCCCAAAATTCCAGATCCCAAATTCCAAAATTCCAGATTCCAAATCCCCAAATTCTGATCCCAAATCCGGGAATTTCGCTCCCAAAACCCCAAATTCCCACCCAAGAATTCCCATATTGCTAAAATTCCTGGAATTCCCAATTTTCCCACTTTTATTCCCGATTTTGGAATTTGGATTGAAAACCTCCAAAATTTCACTCCCAAATCCGGGAATTTTGACCCCAAATCCTCAAATTTCGATCCCAAATCCAGGAATTTTGACCCCAAATCCCCGAATTCTGCTCTGAAATTTGGGAATTCCAATCCCAATTCCCGGAATTTCCGGAATTCCCTCTTTCCCAGGTCATGTCCCCTCCCGGGAGCTGCAGCGGATGCGGAGCCCAAATTCCCCAATCCCAAAATTCCCAAATCCCAAAATTCCCAAATCCCAAAATTCTGATCCCAAATCCCAAAATTCCCAAATCCCAGAATTCCTATCCCAAATTCCCAAATCCCAGAATTCCCATCCCAAATCCCCCAAATTCCAGATCCCAAATCCCCAAATTTTGCTCTGAAGTCCCGGATTTCTGATCCAAAATCTCGGAACTTTGACCCTAAATCCTCAAATTTCGCTCCAAAATCCCCAAATTTTGACCCATAATCCTCAAATTTTGACCCCAAATCCGGGAATTTCGATCCCAAATCCCAGAATTCCGATCCCAATTCCCGGAATTCCCAATTTTCCCTCTTTCCCAGGCCAGGTGCCCTCCCGTGAGCTGCAGCGGATGCGGGCGCGGCTGTTCCTGAACCTGGGCCTGGCGCAGGAATCCCTCGGGAACCTCCAGGAGAGCTCCCGGCTGCTGCGGCACAGCGCACACGTGGCCACGTGAGAGACCCGGAATAACGGGAATTTCCATGGGAATTTCGGGAATGATGGGAATTCCGGGGGGTTTGGGAATGTTACAGGGGGTTTGGAGAGGTTTGGGATGGGTTTGGAAAGGGAAAATGGGAAAATCGGGAGCGCCCGGCTGAGCTGCAGCGCTTCCCCAAGGCCCTGCAGGTGAGAAAAACGGGAATTTTGGGAATTTTTGGGAATTTTTGGAATGTTGGGAGAAGTTTTTGGGAATTTTGGGGAGTTTTGGGAATGTTAGAGGGGGTTTGGAGGGGTTTGGGATGGGTTTGGAAAGGAGAAAATGGGAAAATCGGGAGAGCTCCCGGCTGCTGCAGCACAGCGCCCACGTGGCCACGTAAGAGACCCGAATTCCGGGAATTTCCATGGGAATTTCGGGAATTCCGGGAATTTTCGGGAATGCTGAGAAGGAAATTTGGGGATTTTCAGAGGATTTGGGGGGTTTTTTATGGGATTTTTGGGGGTTTTGGGAAGGAATTTGGGGGTTTCTGAGTCGATTTTAGGGATTTTGGAATGGAATTCTGGGAATTCCAGGAATTTTGGGAATTTTGGGAATGCTGGGAGGGAAATTTGGGGGTTTTGGGGGTTTTGGAGAGGTTTAAGGATGGATTTTTGGGGGTTTTGAGAAGGAATTTCGGGGTTTGGAAATCGATTTTTAGGAATTTTTGGGATTTTTGGGAATTTTTGGGAATTTTTTTGATTATTTTGGGAGAAACATTTGGGAAATTTGGGAATTCTGCGGGAAAATTTGGGGGTTTGGGATTGGATTTTTCGGGGTTTTGGAGAAGAATTCTGGAACTTTGGGATGAGATTTTTTCGAATTCGGGTGTCGATTTTGGGATTTTTGGAAAAGATTTCTGGGAATTTTGGAATTGGATTTGGGAATTTTGGGAATTTTGGAGAGGATTTTGGGACTCAATTTTGGGAATTTTTTTGGGGATTTTGGGATGGAATTGTGACATTTTGGGGATTTTGGAGAGGATTTTTGGGATTTTTTGGGAATTTTGGAGAGGATTTTTGGGATTTTGAGAATTTGGGGAATTTTGGGATGGAATTGTGACATTTTAGGGGTTTTGGAGAGGATTTTTGGGATTTTTTGGGAATTTTGGAGAGGATTTTTGGGATTTTTTTGGGGATTTTGGGATGGAATTGTGACATTTTGGGGATTTTGGAGATGATTTTTAGGAATTTTTGGGAATTTTGGGAGTCGTTTTGGGAATTTTGGGATGGAATTGTGACATTTTGGGGTTTTTGGGAATTTTAGAGAGGATTTTTTGGGAAATTTGGGAATTTCGGGAATTCCGGGGGGTTTGGGAATGTTAGAGGGGGTTTGGAGGGGATTTGGTGAAGGAAAATCGGAAAAATGGGAAAATTTGCTGCATCCAGCACTGAGCTGCAGCGCTTCCCCGAGGCCCTGCAGGTCAGGAAAACGGGAATTTTGGGAATTTTTGGGAATATTCTGAGAGATTTTTGGGAATTTTTGGGAGTTTTGGGAATTTTGGGAATGTTAGAGGGGGTTTGGAGGGGATTTGGTGAAGGAAAATCGGAAAAATTTCGGGAATTTTGGGAATTCTGGGGGGTTTGGGAATGCTGGGAGGGGAATTCGGGAACCTCGGGGAGAGCTCCCGGCTGCTGCAGCACAGCGCCCACGTGGCCACGTGAGAGACCCGGAATTCCGGGAATTTCCATGGGAATTCTGGGAATTTCGGGAATTTCGGGAATGCCGGGAGGGGAATTCGGGAATGCTGGGAGGGAAATTCCGGAATTTTGGGGGTTTTGGAGAGGTTTAAGGGCGGATTTTGGGGGATTTTAGGACGGAATTTGGAGGTTTGGAGTGGATTTTTGAGATTTTTGGGAATTTTTGGGATTTTGGGAATTTTTTTGATTTTTTGGGAGAAACATTTGGGAAATTTGGGAATTCTGCGGGAAAATTTGGGGTTTGGGACTGGATTTTTTGGGGAAGAATTTTGGGAATTGCAGAGTAGATTTTGGGATTTTTGAAGAAGATTTCTGGGAAATTTGGAATTGGATTTGGGAATTTTGGGAATTTTTGGGAATGCTGGGAAAGAATTTTGGTGGTTTTGGGGAGGATTTGGGGGGTTTTATTGGGATTTTTGGGGGTTTTAGGAAGGAATTTGGAGGTTTGGCATGGAAATTTGGGAATTCCAGGATTGAGATTTGGCAATTTGGGGAATTCCGGGAATTTTGGGAATTTTTGGGAATGATGGGAGGAAAGTTTGGGGGTTTGGGGGAGGATTTGGGGGTTTGGGAGATGATTTTTGGGATTTTTGCAGAGGATTTTTGGGAATTTTGGGATTTGGGATTGGGAATTTTGGGAATCTGAGAATTTGGAAATTTTGGGATGAAATTCAGAGATTTGGGATGGAATTTTGGGAATTCCAGGAATTTCGGGAATTTTGGGATTGCTGGGAGGGAAATTTGGGGATTTTGAGAGGATTTGGGGGGTTTTTAATGGGATTTTTTTGGGAATTTTGGGAAGCAATTTGGAGGTTTTTGGGAATTTTGCAGACGACTTACAGGAATTTTGGAAATTTCCAAGAGGATTTTTGGGATTTTGGGGATTTTTTGGGAATTTTGGGATTTTTTTGGGGATTTTGGGATGGAATTGTGACATTTTAGGATTTTGGAGAGAATTTTTGGGAATTTTGGGGAATTTTGGGAAGGAATTTGGAGGTTTTTGGGAATATTGCAGAGGATTTCTGAGACTTTTGGGAATTCTGGAGAGGATTTTTGGGAATCTTGGGATTTTTTGGGAACTTTGGGAGAGGTTTTGGGGATTTTGGGATGGAATTGTGACATTTTGGGGATTTTGGGAAATTTCGGGAAGACATTTAGAGACTTGGGATGGAATTTTGGGAATTTGGGAATTTTCGGAATTTTGGAGAGGATTTTTGGGAATTTTGGGATTGGATTTGGAAATTTTGGGATTCTGGAATTGGATTTGGGAATTTTGGGAATTTTTGGGAATGCTGGGAGGGAAATTCGGGAATTTTGGGGGTTTTAGGGAGGATTTTGGGGGGTTTTTAATGGGATTTTTGGGGGTTTTAGGAAGGAATTTGGGGCTTTGGGAATTGAGTTTGGGGATTTTGGAGTGGATTTGTGGGAATTTTGGGAATTTGGCAGCGCCCACATGGCCACGTGACGCCGGAATTCCGGGAATTTCCATGGGAATTTTGGGAATTTCCATGGGAATTTTGGGAATTTCGGGAATGCTGGGAGGGAAATTCAGGAATTTCGGGGAGAGCGCCCGGCTGCTGCAGCACAGCCCCCACATGGCCACGTGAGAGACGGGAATTCCGGGAATTTCGGGAATTGCGGGAATTCCGGGGATTTTTGGGAATTTTTGGAAATGCAAGGAGGGAATTTGGGGGTTTTGGAGAGGTTTAAGGGCGGATTTTGAGGGCTTTGGGAAGGAATTTTGAGGTTTTTGGGAATATTGCAGAGGATTTCTGAGACTTTTGGGAATTCTGGAGAGGATTTTTGGGAATTTTGGGATTGGATTTGGACATTTTGGGGATTTTGGAGAGGATTTTTGGGATTTTTTGGGATTTTTGGGATTTTTGGGGAATTTTGGGAAAGAATTTGGAGGTTTTGGGGGTTTTGGAGAGGTTTAAGGGTGGATTTTTGGGGGTTTTGAGAAGGAATTTGGGGGTTCGGGAATGAAATTCTGAGATTTGGGATGGGAATTTTGGGAATTTCACAGGGATTTTTTGGGAATGTTTCCAGGCAGTGCCATTCCCTGGAGGATCTGGGATGGGAATTTCGGGAATTTTGATTGGAATTTTGGGAATTTCAATGGGAAGTTTGGAGAGGATTTTTGGGTATTTGAGACTGAAATTTTGGGAATTTGTGGCTGGAATTTTGGGAATTTCTGGCTGGAATTTTGGGAATTTGGATTTTGATGATTTGGGATGGGAATTTCGGGAATTTTGATTGGAATTTTGGGAATTTTTCCAGGCAGTGCCATTCCCTGGAGGATCTGGGATGGGAATTTCAGTGGGAATTTCGGGAATTTCGGGAATTTCAATGGGAATTTGGGGAATTTTGGGAATTTGGATTTTGGGGATTTGGGTTGGGAATTTCGGGAATTTCAATGGGTATTTTGGGAATCTGGGATTTGGGAATTTTGGGAATTCTGGGATGTTTGGAGAGGATTTTTGGGTGTTTGGGACTGAAATTTTGGGAATTTGTGGCTGGAATTTTGGGAATTTTGATTTTGGGGATTTACGATCGGAATTTTGGGAATTTCAGTGGGAATTTTGGGAATTTCACAGGGATTTTTTGGGAATTTTATCCCGATTTTCCAGGCAGTGCCATTCCCTGGAGGATCTGGGATGGGAATTTCGGGAATTTCAGTGGGAATTTCGGGAATTTTGATTGGAATCTCGGGAATTTGGGATGGAAATTTTGGGATTTTTAGATGGGAATTTTGGGAATTTGGATTTTGGGAATTTCAATGGGAATTTCAGGAATTTTAGATGGGAATTTTGGGAATTTGGATTTTGGGGATTTAGGATCGGAATTTCGGGAATTTCACTGGGAATTTCGGGAATTTTTCCAGGCAGTGCCATTCCCTGGAGGATCTGGGATGGAAATTTCAATGGGAATTTTGGGAATTTTAATGGGAATTTTGGGAATTTCGATGGGAATTTCAGGAATTTTAGATGGGAATTTTGGAGTGGATTTTTGGGTGTTTGGGACTGAAATTTTTGGAATTTGTGGCTGGAATTTTGGGAATTTTTGGCTGGAATTTTTGGAATTTGGATTTTGGCGATTTAGGATTGGAATTTTGGGAATTCCAATGGGAATTTCAGGAATTTCAATGGGAATTTTGGGAATTTTATCCCGATTTTCCAGGCAGTGCCATTCCCTGGATGATCTGGGATGGGAATTTCGGGATCTGGGATGGGAATTCGGGAATTTCAATGGGAATTTTGGGAATTTTAGATGGGAAT